TGAAATTGCACTGCAACTACTTTCCCATGGTGCATTGCATTTCTCTCACCTTTGCTTTCTCATGGTGCATTATCATGTATAACCTGTGCAGTTCAGCCAACACCGGCGACGCTTGTCACTGCCACTCAGAAGGTAAGTTGGCGGATACCTGCTGCACGCAACCCAGTCTGAATCCAACCCCAAATATTTATGTGAATATTACAAACAACAGCAGCTTTTGACCAATCTTCTTTCAATTCTTGAGAAAAAAAAAAGCGACACAAAGAGAGCTTCGATGGTGAATGAGCACTCTTTTTTTTTTTTTATTTTCTTTTTTGGCTGAACGACCGGAGACCAACATCATAAATAACGCGTTTTAATGCTGTCAGAACTCGGCAGTGGACACTTCAGACCTCCAAAACAAATTCAAAATCTTTTTCGCCAGCGCATTTCCTATCGCTTTTCGACTCTCACCTCCCGCCCCTTGCTCGGTATCGCTTGAGCAAGACGCCAGCGACTTGAACAGTCTGGGTCAATCCCAACGCCGAACGAAAAGATGAGATTTCGATTGCATTTAAAGAATCCAGAAGAGGAAACCGTTACCCTGCGCCAGTCTTGAAAGTACGCGAAAAGAATACAGCCTTTTCCAAGCTCATTCCCGGCTGTATGCATTGGTAAAAGAAAGCGCGATGAGATGACTTTTCTCAACTACCCAAAAATTACACTCACCACAGTCATCAGTTGCCTGATCCACACATCACCCAGACAAAAGTTTTTCGTTTTGGTATTTTGACGAAAAAACTCTTGGAATGTTTATGAATTTACGGTATTTGGTTTCGGGTGTGTCACTGGGGCGTTTCCATTTTTCAAAGCAAGCGTTTGAAACCTTTGCCAATAAAGTGCCAATAAATACCTGATAAACTGTTTTTAGAGCATTTATGAGGGAAACAAGGTAGTTGAGGGTGTCTTCTGCTGAGCTTGTCTTCTTCACAAAAAATCCATTTTCAAACTGCGTTTGAGTAATCGCAGTGTGCGCTGCATCCATTCCAAAGTACTCGGCACTTTCAGTGCTTACTTCTTCAATTACGTAGATGACGTTGGGGCGCCGCATTCTGACAACCGAAACTGTGCAACAGGACGCGAGACGCGTTGGCTCGAATATGTCGATGGGGGTGCGGGCAGTGTGATCCACTCACTTTTTGTTCCTTGAACCGCCCATCTTTAATACTGGACACCAGATCATCCATAGTTTTGCGCTCAATAATATACTCCAAAACAATTTCGTCATCCCCATGGTACTGTCCTTTTGAATAAATGCCGATCAGAACAAACAAACCATTCGACTTTGGCCTCGCGATGAACATGACGTCGACCAGTTCCAGCATTCGTTGACATTTCTGTTCACAAGCCCGTCATAAAAGAAGCTTCGATTTGCGCCATTCTTGACTTCACGCGTATCGAGAAGTGGAGTGATTTCGAATTCACCCGGAGCGAAAGACAAGTTTCCAAATGGCTTATTCGATGCAGTGTCGGGTGCAAAAGGTTGTCGTCTGAATGACGCTTGACTTAATTGCGATGCCGGCTGTGAAGAGTCTTCGCTGAGGTTGGATATAGACTTGGCTAGTGTATTATTTGAGGAATCTTGTGCGACATGGGTGAAGATGAATTCGTGCCGCCCACCTCGAGGATTCGCGTCTATTGGCAAGGCAGCCGAGTTGCTTTGTTTCATCGACGCTAGCATTCAGTCAACCAAAGTTGCCCCTTCTTCAGTCAGACAGAATCGTGGTGGGTTGCCGTACGCTATGACAAGCTGTTCTGCACATAGATTAATGGCCATGAAACCCGATGATATACCTCTTTTTCCTTCAAACCCTTCGTAGACGCCCATCCCGTATACATAGTACCAGCTCCAGGCATGTCCAACGGCATGTCCGCGTGTTCCCGACCTGACTGAACAATGTCGTGTTTCGACATGTAACCCTGCGCGCCCTGCTTCAATGCCACGAGAATCGCCCAAGCTCCTGATCGGTACTTTGGCACTTACTCTACTTTGCGCACGCGTTTCGGTGCAGACTGTGGTGCGCTGTCGGCAGTTTCTGTCTCAGTGATCGCCGAATCTGGGCCAACTTTGATTTCAGTGACAGTCGGCCAGAATCAAGCACACAACGCACTCTTTTTCTTTGGGACAACACGCCGAGGCTCATGCAGGAACGAATGCGCCGAATTTGGCTGAAGTTCGATTTGGCAAGGATTTGAGCCCTGATGAGCGCCGAGCCTGGAAACAATGAAACATCCATCAGTCCATGGGTGAGAGGCAAAGAGCCTATGCTGAACAAGACCCAGTCAGAAACAAACCGCGTCTCGAGCTCCTTCAAAATCCCAGGTCCAATGTTCTTCACAATGAGAACATCCCGAGGTGTCGTCAAAGGAAGGGGGTATTTTGCGAGCTCATCGTGGGCCGGAAGAAGGGGTCTCAGAACACGTTACGACCATGTCCGAATCCTTTCAATCGATTATCGAACGCTCAAAACTTGTAGACAGAAAAGAGGCGAGAGTTTCCACGGCTCACGGCTTTCTTCTTCTCTTCTTCGTGCATATCAGACAGCCATTCGAGGAAGAGCGCTTTGAGGTCCATGGGTATTCAATCTGGATAAATACTGGGTATATTTTAAGTGAAGTGAGTGCTAAGCATCAGGAGAAAAGAAGCCGCAAATACCGAAATATGCCCCGCGAAGACCGTGACCGCATTGACCGGCGCGACAGAGAGAGGGAGAGAAGCCCGCGAGACAGAGACAGAGACAGGGAGCCACGTGAGCATCGTGACAGAGACCGGGACAGGGACAGAGATAGAGACAGTCGGAGGGGTGACAGGGACAGAGACAGAGACAGAGGGGACAGAGGAGACAGAGATAGGGTCAGAGACAGAGGAGACAGGGACAGAGGTGATAGGCGGGACAGGGACAGGGACAGAGACCATAAACGTCCTCGCAGGGCTTCTCGGTCTCCTGCTGGCAGTGCAACAAGTGGTGGATCAGCCCCAGTCGTGCCCATTCATCTGAGAGAGAGAAAGCTTTCGTTCTGGGATATGACTCCGCAAGGATTTGAGGGTGTAGGAGCCATGCAGGCGAAGCTGACAGGTGATTATTGGATTGGCTGTATTCTCTTGTTTTTGCTGACCAGCTCCCCCCCCCCCCTCTTCTTTTGTAACTTACTCCCTCTTTTCTTCCTCGTTTGGTTCATGCGCGATTATTTAGGCCACTTCCCTCCACCGGGTGTTGCTGCAAAACCTGTTCACGGACATGGCGCTTCATTCGGAACCGGTCTTCCCGTGCATATGCAAATGAACATGGGCATGGGTGTTGGCGGCAATGGAATGGGCATGATGGGTATTGGGATGGGTATGCCTGGGATGAACGGCGGATCAGACTATGCTTCGATTGCTGCCAACATGGCCGCAGCGGGCAATTCATCGCGACAATCAAAGAAGCTGTACGTGGGAGGCATTCCTCCAGGCGTCACGGACGAAATGCTCCTCGCCTTCTTCAACGACACTCTCACTCAGCTGAACATCACCACTTCGACCGACTTGCCCCCCGTGTTGACATCGCAAATCAACAAAGAAAAGTCGTATTCCTTCTTGGAGGTGAGGGAGAATGCTTTTTTCTTTCCCCACGTTTCATTCTCCTGTTTTTCGCGCTTTGCGTTTTTGTGGGCGATATTCTGGAATGATGCATGATCGCGTTGGGCGATTCCTCAGTCCAAATATTTCTTTGCAAACTATGCGACTGATGGTTTTCGCATTTTCCATCCTCCTTGCAGCAAGATACACATACACATACATTTCTTTTTTCCTGTTTAGTTTCGAACGGACGACGACTGCACAAAAGCCATCGCTCTGGATGGACTTCCATTTCAAGGCGGCATCCTTAAAATCCGACGACCGAAGGATTACGTTGGACCATCCAACGGAGCCGGACCGTCAATCCATTTGCCTGGTATTTATAGTCCACGTTTGCGCTAAACTCTGATTTTAATCTTGCCGCTTGCGCGGGTACAGGGGTTATTGCGACAAATGTCGGCGACAGTCCCAACAAACTCTTTGTGGGTGGTCTGCCAAGTTACTTGAACGAAGAACAAATCATTGAGCTGTTGAAGGCTTTTGGCGATTTGAAGTCGTTCAACCTTGTGAAAGATGTGGGCACTGGCATGTCAAAGGTAGAAGGCACGTTTGGTCACATTATCAGACCCTGTTTTTAAACTGTTCCTTGTCTCGCAGGGTTTCGCCTTCTGCGAATACGTCAACCCCGAAATTACAGATATTGCCTGTGAGGGACTCAACGGTATGGATCTGGGTGACAAGAAGCTGGTGGTCCAACGTGCATCAGTGGGTGGCAGTAAAACCGGACCGGGAGCGATGGCCCCTGGCACATACCTTCCAATGATCCCCGCCAGTTTGCTTGGAAGTGGCAACACGAAACCAACGCGCGTGCTGATGCTTCTGAACATGGTGACGGCAGCAGAACTTGTGGACAACGACGAGTACGCTGACATTCTCGAAGACATTCGAGATGAGTGTGGAAAGTTTGGGGAAATTGTTAAAGTGTTTATTCCAAGACCGGTGGACGGACAGGATGTGCCGGACGTGGGCAAAATCTTTGTTGAGTACCGGGAATTGGAAGGTTCCGCTTTGGCCCTTAAATCATTGGCTGGGCGAAAGTTTGCCGATCGTACCGTGTTTACTAGTTACTGCGATGATGATTTACTGGCAGATCGCTGATTGACGCTTGTCTTGGGAGCTGAACAACGGGGTTGTAGAAGAATGCCCTTTCCTCTGTAATGTCTCTTTTTCCCTTGTTTGGTTTTTGTTATTCCCTCACTGATGTACGTTTGAGTGCTGACCGGTCTTCGAATACAACCACATTTCACTTGCTGATGCGTTTGCGTTCGCTGCTTCTTTGCTGTGTCTGCTTCTCCCAAGCAGATTCATCGGATCATATATTCATATTTTTTGTCAAATCATCGGGGAAATGGCCGAGTGGTCCAAGGCGCTACGTTCAGGTCGTAGTCCAGAAATGGGCGTGGGTTCGAACCCCACTTTCCTCACCTTTTTGCCCTGCGTCGCCTGTTCCGCTTCAACTCATTTGGTTGCTATGATTTGATGTTGGCACCACGAAAAATGCAATGAAGCAGCAACTTAAAAGGTTGCTTCTGGATTTTAAGCGTGACAATCGTTTTGTCCTTCACTTCTTGCCCAATTGTCATTCAACATACGTTGGGCGTTGGGACAACAGGTTAGCGGCAGGCAGAAAAAACAGCATGAACGACGGCACACGACAAACGTGGTGCGCATCACTACCCAGCGGCTGCACATCGGAAATGAAAAGCGAGCAGCAGGAAGAATAGTGTCCGCATCAACAACTGTTCTCTTCTCTGTTTTGGTTTGGTTTGCGGTCGCACATTTTTAATAAAAAACGCGTGTTGGGGAATTGAATGGATGGTTTCAAAACAAATGGGTTTGCTGCTGATTCTGCGCGTTTGGCATTCATTTGTCAATCTGGTTTTGACTAAATTCAATCCCTCACTCCATTGCCGTCTCTCGAGTCACAACAAAAGAAGCACTTGTCACAATCACACGTCTTCATGCGGGCTGAAAGCACTCCATATCCACAAGTGCGTTTAATATGCAGGTTTACTGGCGGACCTGTGTCGTCGTGAAGCTAATGAGCAATGTCAGGTGGGTCAAGAAAACTCAGACATTCGCTATATGATGATTACGTTTATTTTATGCCCCTGCAGCTCGCAAGCCAGTGTTTTGCTGCGCAATACGCGCTTTTTTTTTTGACCCAAAATCGTCTTGACAAGATTGTCAACATGGGTATAAATAGTGAGTGCAAACGCCCAGGAAGTGAGACTGAGGGGAGTACGCCGTCTGAACTTTGGAGAAGCAGGTTCTAAAATGGGCGGGAACGTGTGATTCAGCTCACTGCCCGGCGCCCAGCCCTCCACATATTCTGCCTTGTTTTGAAAGCTGGACACTCAAGACGAAAGAAACCCAGGTATTGACACGAAAAAATTACTTCTGTCGACTTGCATACTGTCTCGAGTCCGCAACAAATAAATACGGGTCACAATTGGGCTCAGCTTTGTACTCGCACACGCAAGAGCCGGGACACCTCAAGTTGGCGCCGACTTTGCGGTGCTTCTCCACCTTCGTCAGCTCCTCAAAGTCCAACCCCAACCACTCAAACGGCTTCGGCAGACAGGAAAATAAATCATAACATACATCAAAAACGCCATGCTCATCCCCAATGTGTCTGCTCGACACAATCATTAGCGACCGATTTTCCACCGCCATGTGGAGCGGATATGCGTTTGCCCAGAAAGTTCAGAGAGGAGAGGTACTGTCCCGTCCAGGGCCAAAAGATTGCGCTCAAGAAACAGAAACTCTGGTGTATAACTTTGATGAGATGAAGTCTGAGGCGTTTTCACGTTGGGAATGTATGC